TTCATGATTTTTAAAATTTGAACAGTGCAATCCTAATACTAATTTGTGATTTGTTTCGCTCTTCTATCAACTCGGCCGTATATATCAGAAAAATAGAGTATATAATTCAAAATACAAGATGCAAAGAATTTATTTACAATAATACTTACTTGGACAACTGATAATCTGTGCCTTTAACAAATTTTAATTTATCTAATGGTACATCGATTGACTTTAACATCGATTTGATTATAGCCTCATAATATTGAGTACGAAGCTCTAGAAGCTCCCATGGTGCTTTCATGTTATCTAAGTATGCATGAAGGTCTGCAAAGAGAATTATCACCTCGGTTTGAGCCCGTAAGAAATCAGCTATCTTAGACATAGGGACGAAATAGCCAATATGAGGCTTTCCTGTTGTAGCTGTACCCCAATACAACTTCAAATCACGCTCCTTTAAGATACTCTTAAGTTTCTCATCTCCCAGCCATTCTGCTAGATTTCTGGTAATAAGCTTGTATTTGTTGGTCCATGTCAAAGCCATCTTTTTTGTATAGCAAACTATTTTTTATAATTACCTAAATAAATGATAATAGAAATTTTATATAAAAAGTTACACAGCGAAAATGACTTTAGATTACCCAAGTAGCACACAGCGCTTACAAAGCGTTAAAAAAGCGCATATAATCACATTTTTAGCGCTTAGCAAGCGCTGCTGTGTTACTTGAGTATAGAGTTTACTCATAAATAATATTTTTTCAATAATTTATAGTTTCTGAAATATTAAACGTTATATAAAGATAATAGTAAAAACCAAAATTAAGTTTGCTTAGAATGTTATTTTCTTATAGCATACATAGTATTTTATATATATATATATATATATATACTTACACAGTACACATACACACACACACATACATATATATAAATAGTGAACGATAATAAGTATTTACGTTTCTTTGTTATGTTATGCTACTCAGTACATTTTACCTATCACATTATCAATGCAATTGTTGACCACTAAATGGAAAACAGATGAATTTCTTACTGTCAAATTAAATTATTAATTTATTTAAAAAAAAAATACTTAGATGGAGAAGGGTAGTCATGCATTCGTTTATTATATATATAATTAATATGCAGCGTGATATTTATACAAACATACTAGGTAAAATTCAAATTATAAAGCTGAACATATATATCTACATATTGTCATTGTTTATTTATTAATAACTGTAATAAACAATGACCATTGGCTAAAATCTTTTGATCGTTATTCAGAAGAATGTTCTTGATAACATACACATATGTTACAGTAAAGATTATCAGAACTTTGACTGCTAGGAGTCCTAGGCTACATTCCAAAGCTTCCTCTTAGAGGAAGATTTTATTCTATATGCTATAGTATACGTTACGTGTACTATATATTTCGAGTAAAATTTTACTCGGAGAGGAAGTTTTGGAACGTAGCCCTAATATATAGATTTTTTTATCAAAATTACTAAACATTAACTTTAAAGGTCTCTTTTACCAACATCGATTAACTAATTCATGGTTAACTCACATCACGATTGTCAAAGTGATTATTATACAGTTTAGAAGAAAAAGAAGGGAGGCACTTCTGCGAGTTGAGCGTTGATTAATTTAATCAGAAGTTGGTGAAAGAAGCTCCAAGTGTAACTTAGAAACTATAATATATTATTACCTTTGCATATACAAAATTTCATCTAAAATTTCAATAATTCGAGTGATTCTTAAAATTAAAAAAAAAATGAAATTTTTCTTTTAAGTTTGACACCCTATTATCTTTAAAACAATTAAAACTAGGCCGTTTCGTATATTAGGTCATATGAATTTTTCGTCTCGAATTTGTGTGAACAATCACCTTAAAATGTCTTTTTTAGAGTATTTTTAATACTCAGTATCTACTCTGTATGTCAAGGTCAAAATCAACCGAGCTGTTTTTCTATAAAATTACCAATAACTTTTAACATATGTCTACTATATATATAAACACAGATTTAATATAAAATTTTTTTCATAAATTCTTTATTTCATTTATTTATTTATTTTTTCTTTATTAGATATTGCTTCTTTAAAAAGTAATATTTTCTCTTTTGGATAATTACACAGTTCAACCTTTCGCAGCTTCAGCTCGTTTCAGTTCGTTTCGCGTGGAAAGTCGAAATCCACGCGCAAGAATACAATTACAGAACTCAGAAATCGTGCGCCCCTTGGCAGAGGGGGGAAGTGGGGTGAAAGTCGCTTCGCGTGAGAAACTGGAGAGTCGAAATCCACGTGTAACCGGTGTAACCACGTGCAACAGTACAATTCTAGACCTCGTGTTGCCTCTGACAGAATTCCTAACCTCAATAGTCGTCAACTTTGATGCTCAATAACTTGGTTCGCGAAGCAGAGCGACACTTATTTTTACCAGATTCTTTCGTTTTATGCAAAAAAACGCGTTAAATAAGCCTAATTTTATTGATTTTAGAGGTAATTGTGCTAAACTATATAATTACCAATTACTGTAACTTTACATTTAAACCCCATTTAAAGATATTTATCCTATTAATGTGATAAAATTAACCCTTTTTATTACTATACTTACCAGACATCAAAATCCACCGAACTCAAATGAAAACTAAACTGTACCTACATATCTACTATCAGAGAGAAACCTGAGAGATAATAGATAACATAAGAGGGCCTTTTTCCTGTAATGCTTGATTCACACTGCATCCGAATTGCGTCGTACGACACTCCGCAACCAGTCAGAAAACAGAATTCCGATTGCTGGATTCACAGTGCATCCGATTTGCGTCGTACGACGCTCTGCAACCAATCAGAAAACAGGATTCCGATGATACGAAACAAAATCCATCGAAATCCTGTTTTCTGATTGGTTGCAGCGCGTCGTACGACGCAAATCGGATGCAGTGTAAATCCAGCATAAGACGTACATTATCGGTACGGCGTAATTCTGTTTTCTGATTGGTTAAAGAGCATCGTACGACGCAAATCGGATGCAGTGTGAATCCAGAATAAGAATTTCAACCTATCAGAAATCATATATTGTGGAATACACATTGCGTATTCCACAATACATGATTTCTGATAGGTTGAAATTCTTATACCCGTATTCATAGTCAGGCCTTATATTTAAGGCTCCCTTAAATATTATCTTCGGATGCTCTACGAATTATTTTATTGGCTACTGAGCATCTAAAGATAAATTTAAGGAAGCCTTAAATATAAGGCCTGACCATGTTACAAGACAAGGGTATGCTTATGTGCATATAGGTACCACGTGACGTTCAACCAACATACGTCACGTTTCGAAGGAGAGAAAGAGAGGGGTTGTGTATACATATAAACTTCTCTCTTTCTCTCTTTTACGAATGTGACGTAAGCTTGTTGAGATGCGCAGTGGGTTTCCACGGGATGAGCATACCCTTGTCTTTATACCATGGGCCTGACTATGAATACGGACATTATTCTCTGTTTTCTATTCCCTGTTCCTTTTATTGTGCGGAGTCCCCTTAGAACATATATAAATGGAACGGGCATTGCCTATACTTCCCATGGCTCGCGCTGATGCAAACGTCTGTGCAAGAGAGAAAGGTAGTAAGGGATAAATGTTCCCAATGCGTATGCGCAGCATCACGTTTTACACACCTGTGTAAAACGAATGTGTAAAAACACTGAACAACTGTACAATTCACACAGATGACGGTGCTGCGCATGCGCATTGCGAACATTTATCCCTTACTACCTTTCTCTCTCACACAGATGTGGCTTCACGTTCAGCGCCCTATGTCCCTCCCATTTATATATGTTCTAAGGGAGTCCCTAACCTGTAACCAATGGTGGAAGGGATAACAAGGGTAGGGTGCTTTTCATTTGATGAGCATAATTTTCGTTAGAGCGGAAACGTGAAAAATGAAAATTTTTATGTATGCATGTTCGTACACTGCTGTTCAATAATCGAGTCTCACTTTAGTCGTACTTGGGTATAGGTGGGCGCGCCATGTATGTACACACTTCTCCACCCTCCTACACTCGAGGGATTCGATTAATGAACAGCAGTGTACATACATACGGACACAACCAAAGACATTAGCGTTTTCGGCCCGATGGGGTTAGAGTCCCTATAATGAGAGTCAAGACATAAGATCGGAAGGACGCCATTGCTGGGCGCCGGCCGGAAACTGCACAAATAACGCATGGCACAAATAGACGCGTTCGCGCCTGTTGTACTACTACACCATGAAACAGTTGCTCACACCAATTCACAGATTCACTAACACATCGAAAGCGCCTAAAAATGGCGGCGACCAATCACGAGGGGACTATGAAACTGCATTTAAACTATGTCAAACAAGATAAGACGTGTAGGATAATGTGAGATAGAATGTATAGGATAAAATGAAATAGTAATATGTCACTAAACTATAAATGGCTGCCAAGTCACGCAATTGGTCAGATTGCAACAGCGAATCGGAATGCATAACACCGGTTGCGCCTCTCAGATAAATCTAGGACTCTACCCGAACCTAGATCGTGTGAGATCGTGTCGTATGTTGCCGCGCGGCAAACGTTTCGTCGTTTCCGCGTTCACTGTGCGGTAGCAATCAGCAAGATGTCTCTGTGTCGTATGTTGTGTCGCGAGATGTAAGGTGTCGTCTACAATACACGGAGTAAGAAGTAAGAATAAGAAATTGACCAATGCACAGTCGATTATTCTTCTCACATTCGACTGTGATTGGTCAATTTCTTACTCTTACTTCTTACTCCGTGTATTGTAGACGGGCCTTTATGAAACGTGTCGCGTGTGTGTGTGTGTGTGTATGTGGAGTAAAATGATAACGAAATATATTTCTGCATTTCTGCATGTTTAAGAAAAGAAACTATATATATGAATTCTATTCTGTTGTATATAATTCCTATTTGGGGTTCACTTAAAAGACATTTTTCTTACATTCTTTGATAATGGCTTGTATTGTTTCTCTCTCAACAGTCACTGATCTCGAAGATGTTTATTTAAGCAAAAAAGATGTTAATGAAAAAGTTAATATAGAATCAAATATCTTTAAAGATACTGAAAAACTTAATAATGAAAAAATAACACATAGTCAAAAAGAAGAGAAAAGTGTTGAAGGAAACTTAAGAAATATTCGTGATGTTACATTGTTAAATGAAGGAAGTTGCTCTAATCAGGAAAAAGTAGAAGATAATGGAACTTCTGGTACCTTAATTAACAATATTTGCCTAAGCGATGGAATCAATCTGAACAAATCGACAAAAGAAGTCGAATTAAAAGTCGCGAATAAAAAATATTGTGATATAGATAATGGCATTAAGACTGTTAAAGAGATATATTCAAATCCCATGGATAGTGATTTTGTAAATCAACCTGGTTTATGTGAAACATTAATCAAAACTGCCAACGCTGATAATGAATATTATTCTGTATCACCTGGAACAGACTTACAGATTGCAGAACATAAGAATAATTCGAAAAGTAGGAGTGTAAGAAGAATAATAGGTAGTGAATCTGAAGAAGACACGCAAACAAGCCAGAGTTATTATTTTCCTCAAAGGGTTCATCATATTACATGTATTACTGTAAGTAATTACGTTATAAACATAGTGGTATTATCTTCCATTCTATACTTTATGCTGATTCTACAATGAAATCTGTAGTTGATAATCCCAAGTCTTATCAGTGAAGTCGATCAATAGCCAACGTATGACTAACGCTGATTAGTCAACTTCACAGATTAAGTTGTAAGACTTCCGACTATGGACGGTAATAGACTCATTGTAGAATCGGCATTACTCTAGGGATGTCAGCAGATCCTTTCGAAGTTTATGCATTATGGCTTCTTTTTCTATCCCCCCTTTTCCCCCATCACTTAAATAAAATTTAACAAATATAAATAAATTATACAAAAAATTTGCGAATTATTTACTTATGTTATATTGGACATTAATATCATTACTAAGTATTTTGTAAACATTAAAGTTTAATTATGGGCCAGGAACAATCTGATATATCTGAGTATCGGGTACAGATTGTTAAAGTAACCTGTAATTATAACCGTTAAGGTTGGCACATATTGGACAGTATGATTTTAACCAGAATGATTTTAACCTGCTTTTAACCACCTTAGTTATGATCAGTTTTGAACATCTGTATTCTGGTCAAAATTTAATAATAGTTTCGTTTTGCCCTATATTACTGTTATTAATATAGTTTTTCTATCTCAGCTCAGAGTTAAGATAGAGAGAAAAGAATAAAAATTAGGTCACAATAAATTAGAAAAACATTTTATTACATATCAAGTAATAAATTGAAACAAAACAAACATTATTGTTATTGCATACATACAGGAAATGGAAAGTTACTTTTTAAAAGTAACAAGTTATAGTTACTCATCTTAGTCAAAAAAGTAATAAGTTATCATTACTAATTACTGATTTTTGAAAGGGCATGTAAAAGTCAATTACAAAAATTCAAATGTAATAATCAAGAATATACAATATATTATACTCTACAAATTCATTTTTGAAACAATATTACATGTTTGGTATCTAGATTGAGCCATCTTTAGATATTACGAATCCACACAGTAGTGTTAAAAAGATGAAGACAACAATAGAGATGGAGAATAATAATATATACCATAATTAGATGAGGCCAGATGAACGTTTTATAGAAGAACCGAAATTGCTCGTAAACGGTTGTTGACCGACCGATTGTTGGAAATTTTTGCATGTTCGAATAAATTTTATAAATTGTTCAATTTGTTCTACAATGAATGAATTAAGCAAGCAAAACGTCACCTTAATGAAAGACTCACGAAATGGCCGTACAGTTTTGTTTTCGCATGTTAAAAAGATGCTCGTTACAATAATTTTAATAGTCGGTATAATTGTATATACATATAATAAAATAAATATTGTATATATAATAAAATAAATAGTTGAGTTAAAAACATAGTCGTTCAAAAGTAAAAATCAAATTCAAAAAGATATAGTTATAAAGGTACTTACAATTAGTCAGAGAATAAAATTAAACTGTATAATTATAACGACAGACAAACACCGATTGAGAGAAAAATAATGATTGAAAAGTAGTCTTGGTATTGCAAAGTCAAATTTGGTTTATAATCGGTATATGTATATGCTTTGTGGAGACCCTCTCTGTCCGCGTTTGTAGATTAAATGTGCCTTCCAACAAGCGACACAGTACAACACAGCGATCATCTCATCTTTGTTTAACAAGGATGTAATGATTCATTGTGTCACAACCCTGTCATCTTACGTCGTTTGTTGGAAGGCACACTAAGACTATTATTTTTTTGCTTTTTAATATTCAGCGTCTCTAAGATTAGACGTTTGTTATAGCATGGTTCTTCATCTAAAATTTGGATATTGTTCCAATCCAAATCATGTTCAAACTGCAATCTATGTTCGGTTATTACAGCTCGAGCAGACGTGTTTCAATGGATACAATTATGATGTTCTTTAATTTTTGTTTCCAACTGTCTGCTCGTCTGTCCAACATATGATGCATCACAATCATTGCGTTTGATCTTATAAACTACGTTATTCTTCGGTAAGTGGGCACGAGGGTCTTTTTGAACTTTTGTATGTTTTTGTAGTTTGCTAAAACTATAGAAAGAGACTTTGATATCATTATTATTAAAAACTGTTCAAATTTTTCGGTCAAAGATGGAATAAAAGTAAACCATGATGGTAAAACAGTTGAATCAAGTTTTGAGAGAAATTTTTGAAAATTTTTCTATAAAAAAAACTCGTTTTTCGACCTTTGTATGTTGGAAATTTCTATTATTTTGAACGTTCTATCAGCAATCGCGCTTCGTGGCAGTGATGCAATTCCGGCTCCAAGCACACCGGCATTTCATTTTAGGTTTTTTAAATGGATTTTTTTTTGGTGATGGGTTTTATAGAGTTGAACCCACCTTGTCAAAAGCCTAATAAAAAGTCTTAAAAATAAAGATACATTAACTAGTGGTTGAAATCCTAATAGGCCCAAATCAAAACCAAAAAAATTCGTTTTTCTCGCCAACCCTGCGAAATATTAGTATTAATGATATAATAATCCGCAAACTTTGAAACAATTTTGAAGAACATTTCCATGAGAGCCTCAAAACTGTAAGTATAAAAAATACATATTTAAAACATATTGTCTTCGTTGTATAGGCTAAAAACTATCGGGCTTTAATTGATTCTGAATCAGAGGAAGAAAAACAAAATGAAGAAATAGAATCTGAAAAAGATGCACAAACAAGCGAGAGTAATAACTTACCTCAAACGGTTCTTATTGTAAGTATTACTGTAACCATATTGTACATAAATGTTTTCTTATATTATGATTTTAAAATAATATAATAAATTATAAAAAATATTTACAATATATTATACATATTTGTTACAGGATGAAAATCGAATTTCGGTAGATTCTGAATCAAAGGAAGAAAAACAAAATAAAAAAACGAAAAACGACACTCATATCATATTTAATAAAGCATCTGAAAATAAAGATGTTACAAAAAAATCTCTTAAAAAGAGACGGGTATGTATGTGGTATGGTAATAAAGTTCGATGAATGGTACATATAAGAAAACACAACACGTAAAGGGAATGTTGGAACGGCAATTATCATGAATTACACTGACATCAAAATTTTCAAGTTGGTTTTACGGATTGTTTACAAAATGTTTACAAATTTAAAATACGCACAAATAGAAGGCCCGAGTGTGTCCATTTCAAAAACAGTAAAAAAATATAAAAAATTCACTTTTTTTTTGGCTTTTTTAGAAATGTTTACAAATTTAAAATACGCACAAATAGAAGGCCCGAGTGTGTCCATTTCAAAAACAGTAAAAAAATATAAAAAATTCACTTTTTTTTTGGCTTGTACAGCTGAGATTAAAGTTTGCTTCATATAAAAGTTTTAGAGTTCATATGAATAGCATAAGTATTCAGCAAACCTCGAATTACTTGAACAAACAATACTGAGTTTGTAAAATTAAGATTGAAAAAAAATTTTTGGTTGAACATAATTCATGTGTATGCGTATGCTTAGTAAAGATTTAGAATAATAAACACCAGTAATTGTGTCTTCAGTGGGTGTTCGATCTTATAACAGATGATACTGCAATATATTAGATAAGGATAGATGTACGTGTCCTCTACCATTTTACATTTTTCGCATTAGTTGACGAATTATTAATTTATGAACATTTCCAAATTCGCCCAGCCTATCGCCAAATGCAAGCGTGCGGTAAGATAAGACCGTCCAGAGAGACGCAAGTTCTTCGTCGTTAAGCATGTTGTTTAGAAGCGACATTGATATTAATGTGCCTAGTGACGGCGAACGAGCGCCTCGCTGGGCGGTCTTATCTCATCGCACGCTAATAAACAATTATGATAAATTTGAACCGATGAAAGTACATCTAATTAGATAAGAGAAATCCTATACTTGGCAAAAGCAGATCTTGGTGCTTAAATATTTCAATGTAAGTTTATACATATAACCTGATTCTGCAAATCGCATACCGAAATCTTTTTCGGCCTTAACAAATATAGGATGTTTTATTTAATTAGATTTGTTCTTATCAATCCAAATTCGTATTATAATTATTAATCCCACGTCTTCTTGAAAAATGCTGTTCACTCACTAGTTATTAACTATTGTGACAAATATTGTCGAAGTCTCGAATGGCAAGAATGCGTGAAATACTAGAGATCCGGGTTCAAATCCCAGCTGAGACATGTTTTTCGCGCTAAATTATTTACAGTTTTTAAGATGCTTATAATAACATAAAATGGCTGCGTTCACCAGAAAAAGCAGCTTTGCAACTGTTGCAAAATTCTCTAATACGACTGGTCTTGTCCTTAGTTCCTCATTGAATCTAAATGTATAAACCAATCATATTCAAAAATTTTACAACAGTTGCAAAGCTGCTTTCTTTGCTGAACGCAGCTAATGATTAATATTCTTTCAAGATGCTTACAAGCATAAAAAATTAATAAATCACTTGTAAATTTAATAAATGATTTACTACTTTGGTTTTGTTCATAATTGAGTTTCAAAACCGAAAAGGATTTCAGCGCCCGGTGATTTTGATTAGATATGTATATAAATTTACACATGAATATTTAAGCATTAAGATCCGCTTTGCCTGATATAGGATTTCTCTTATATAATTGAATTAATTTAGTTTATTTTCTCATAACACATTCACCACTTTATTGCCAGGTTTATAGTTCTTAAACATCTATTTTTAAAAAATAGATGTTTAAGAACTATATCTATTTATTTTTATCTATTTTTTAGCCCGTTATTAATTGTTTTAATAATTTATAATAATTATGACAGCAGTAAGAATCTAAAATATAACATTTAAAGCAGTGTTGTCTAAGATTTGTGGAATTTTGGTCACTAACTTGATATACAATATATCGGTGTTTACGGTTATCTCTATTAAAGAGAGGTTCTAGTCTAGAGATTCAAAATTTATGTATTTTTTTTACCAATTTTTTTCATAAGGAAAGGAAAGAGATATCAACATAATGCAAAAAGCATTGTTTTTTATATTTTAACATATAAAAAAATTTTTTATTTTTAGAAATGTATAAAATTGTGACTGTAGCCTACGGGTAGAACAGAGCGTGTATAGCCAATTGGCGGGAAATCTCGACTGTCGACAGTTTATCTGAGACAAATAAACCAATGCAATTATTAAAATGTATTAAATTTGTGGGGCCATGAACCTTATTTTATTTGAAAATTTTTTAATTTACAGGCAGCTATTTGAAATTAAGTGTCAATTTTCAAGAACTTTTTTTCGCTTTCAACCTGTTCAAAGAAATAGTTATTTTGGAAAATTTATGGCATTTTTAGGTTCATGGTCTTATAACAATTATCTATTTTTAATAGGAAAAAACTTCATGTCAGTCGGATGATTGGTTGAAGCTGTACATTTCCCGCCAGTTTGAAAAACGTGAATTCGAGAAAAACGCGTTTAAAGTTTTACTTTATAACTTTTTGTTAACTTCAATATTTTGCAACTTACATTTAATCAGCGATTCCTGGCCTATAAATCAATTTCTCCTCCTGTTCGATGAACAAATTTTGCTGCATTTGAGCTCTTCTTCTTTCGATTCTTGCTTGTTTTGCGCGTAATACCGCTGAGCTCATTTGATTTTCGACCGATGCAAAATCCAGTTCAACAAGTCATAAATTGCTTTAAAATTTTGAATATTGCAAAATCCTTTTACAGGCATATTCTACACACTTTAGAGATACAAAAAATGTAAACAAAAAATAGATTTTTTTGACCCTCCAAAGTAGAACCTCCCCTTAAGAAAAAAGAAGATATTAGACATAAACGTACGTGTCACACTAACATGCCACAATTACAAATCTTAGCCAGCAATGAATGTTATATTATAGCAGTTAATATAAAATATAATCTTTAAATTAATAATATTATTTTGATCCTATAATATATAGGGCTCTATAAGAGCTTCTAAAGATGAGGCAATGCGTCAGATACATAGCGAAAGTCAACGTTTATTAAGAGAAACAGAAATTTCTTTACCGTATCATAGGCCAAAACAGCGTACATTACAAGAATTCTTGAATAGAAAAAGAGTATCAGCTGCTCTTCCGAAAGCGCCTTCAACGGCAGCGAAACTTAAGATGTCATATGCGATAGTAAGGTAACTTTTTGTATATGTATGTACATAAATTATAGATATATTAGGTATTACGTAAAGTGTTTGGTAATAACCACATCATCTCTTGTGAGCAGGTAAAGCGAACTAAATTGAATAAAAAACCCATCATTTTGCAATTTTTATGTAAAAATTGTAGGGTATCAAGTTACTCATTATGTATAGTGATATGCTTATATGTATAGTGATATGTATTTTGATATGCGAATCCAACTGTGCAATCTCCGCATGGTGTACCATGAATAACGCTAATACGCGGCAGTATTTAAATTTTAGCAGCGCATGTCAAATATTTTTTCGCCAAATGGAACTTAATTATATTGTTTTAAAAAGGTCTCTCTCTCTCTCTCTCTCTCTCTCTCTCAGGCTACAAGAATTTGCAATAAAAAAAAATAAGGGTTTCCGTTAAAGTAATTCAGGGCGATCTTAATGTGACGTTCCTAAGATTGTTCAAAGTCAATCCAATATCACCATATAATGGATTACTTGGTGTCCTACAACTTTTGTATGGACAATTTTACACGAAAATGTCATCTTTCCGAGATAATTCAATGTCCTGACTTTTTTGTGACACCCTGTACACATACATTATACACATCATACTATATTTTAAACGTATACTCACACGCACGTGTTTTACAAATTTGTTTTTAAAATATAAACAAATTATATTTACACATAATTTTAAACAGTCAGGTACTCGCGGAAAAGGAAAAAGAAGCAGAACTTTTTTACAAATCTTCAGATTCGGAAGATGATGTACAATCTATGCCTTTGGTTAGTAAAAATATAAAAAAATCTTCCATTAGAAATGAAAGAAAGATGTCATCAATATGTATTGAGCACACACGTATTCAAAATCCTGAAAGATTTGAAATAAGTAATCGACATTCTCAAGCTATCAGAGAAGAGATTGTACAGAAAAATCATTTAGATGCTAATGCGTGTGAGGTGTTACTTCAAAATGATTTTTGCGAAGTAGATCATCGAGCTGTAGAGTTAGCTTCCTCAATAGATAATAACTGTAATCCAGATAACGAATTTGATACATTACTACCACAGATAGCAAATGAATATAATCCAAAAATTAGTTCACCCAGAAAATTGATTGACATACATTTTGAAAAGGACGGCTGTGAAATATATCTCGATGAACAAGTAACAAAAGAAACAGCTAAAACTATTATTTCTTTGAATAAGGAAAAATGTATTAATGACGACAAAAAGTTAAAAATTACTGTGACAGAGAATCAAGTATCAAAAGTATATCAAGATGATTCCAATGTAATTAACAGAAGAGATAAAAATTCGGTTACAGAAGCAACGAAAATAGGAACAACTTCCAATAGTATAAATAATAAGGAAGTAACTGAAACATTTCAAAATGATAATGATACAACAGATAATATTATGTGTTCAAATTCTGACGAGTGTACTACACAGGATATAAATAATGAAAAAAAAGATCAATATTCTAAAATAAATGACGCATCGTCATCATCTCTTCTTATAATTAATAATATTCAATCAAAAATTCAACATAATTCTTCAGCAGATGAATGTGAAAAGATTAATGATCACCTACAAGTTCTTTCAAAATCTGCAGACGAGGCTATGGCGAATAGAAAAAAGTTATCAACATTAGTATCCAATTCGAAAGTTACTTTAAGAGGATCGCCAGGTATGATTATTGATCTAACAGATGATGTAAAATCGAAAAAACAGAGTGATAATAAATCTGAAATAACTACTGTACACTTACAAAACACGCAGAATAGTCTTTTTCCAGTTAAAGAAGTACTTCCATACAAGACACCTGTTAACATCGATAATTCTGAATTGAATAAGCCTGGAGCCAAATTAATGCGTTTAAAGGAAGATCTGAAATTACAAATGATTTTAAAGCGTAACAAAGTATGGAAACTGAAAGAAATAAAGCTGGAAACGCAGGAGGAAGAATGGAATAGAGAGGAAAAAAGTGATTCTGATTTAGATGAACAAGAACAAGCTGAACTAGATTTTGAATTAAGTGACAGTGAAGAAAGCGAATTAGAAGAGAATGACGTTTGCATTAGAGATAAGAAAAAGAGTAAATGCCTATTTGCAGATGACGAAGCTGAAGTTACAGACAATGAAGATTCAAGTATAGAAGAGATATGTGATGAGAGTGAGGATCATATAAAATACAGTAAACAATCTTCAAATTTCAAATATAGAAAAGAATACATGGACGACGATGTAAGTGAAATAGAAACCGATCAAGAAGAAGAAGATGATGATGAAGATAAATGTGAAGAAGGAAAAGAAGAAAACGAAGAAAGTTTAGATGCAAATATGAAGAATGGAAATGAATCTGATTTTAAAGATGTTGACAATGTTAATGCTTGTGAAAGCTTTAACATTACTAAAAATGATAGAAAAACAAAGTTAATAGAAGAGTTCCGAGACGATTCAAATGTTACAGATCTGAGCTATTTACAAAATCATAGCAGCCAATTAAATATGCCGACAGATATATATGCATCTAAAACACATTGCGATGATATTGATTGGATAAGTGAAAATGAAAGCAATATGCCCGCTTGTCAACAAGAAGTTACTACAAGAAGCCAGATATGTAAGACACCTTTGACGAAAACAAGTATGCTCGATTTGGTTTCTCCTATAACGCAATTAAGCGTATTGAATACTACCTTAGAAAATGAAAAAGATTTATCACAAAATAGAGGGTGTTTAGTTGATAAATATGAGTTCCTTCCTATGAAAAGCACACAGAATGATGAACTTTCTGAACACGTATGTAATGTAAAAAATAAATCTATTTTAAAAAAAAAACTGTTTGATGATATTGGAGAAACTGTTGATGATGAATATCTTATGCGATTGTGTTCTGGTAAATTTGAATCTCCGCAGAGAACTGATATAGATTTATTTTCGCAATCTAGTACCACTGAATTGCAGTTACGTTCAAATGATTCTGAATGTTCTAGAAATTCTAACGCACAACTAGTTGCTGTTAAATCAAAAAATTCAAAAACCGAAATGCTTCAAAATATAAAATTGACGTTAGATGAAGATTCTAATAATTCTGTAAATTATGCAGAGAAAATAAATAAAGTTAGCGCAATGGATTTGGAACTAAAATTAAAAGTTATGTCCTCAGATGACGAGGATGAAGATACATTTCTAAAACCTAAAAAACGTTTAGCCAAAGTATTGAATTTGTCTGATTCGGAAGAGGAAAATTCTCAATTCTTTGATAAAGAAGATGATATAAATAGTGAAGAGAAACAATATGTCGATTACGATTCCGAAGAAAATGAAATTATAATTGTGCCAGAAAAGGATATAAAAAAAGTTGCAGCTAGTTTTGTGGAAGAAGAAGCAGAGTTAAGTGAAAGCGATTGGGATTCTGCCGATGAAGACGAGAAGAATTTGGACAAATTAGAATTTGAAGAAGCTGATGATGAACATATAGACGAACACGAAGTGAAAGATCAACTGGAAAAGATCCATATAAAACAAATATTGGATGAAGATAAAAGAGAAGTGAGATTGCTGAAAGAGTTATTATTTGAGGACGGCGATTTACATAGTGATGGGATGGGACGTGAGCGTAAATTCAAATGGAAAAATATAGGTACAATATATACATATATTTTTTAACATTTATTATATGTAATTATGATAATAATTTTTTTAATGACAGATGATTATCATAAAATACTTTTTCTCTTTTAAGATATTTTTTATAAGATCCAAATTTCCAAAATGTAATACTTGATATGCTCCAATATGTGCATAACTTTATGATTTTGTTTAGATAAGTTAGGAAATAATATTGAGATGTCACAAATATCTGATGAGAACGAAGGCTTGGTAGACGTACAAGACGATGAGGAAGAAGCAAAGTGGAGTAAACTTAAAAATGAAAGAGACAGATTTCTTGAGGAAAGAATGGTACTAAATTATTGCGTGTAATAATGATCACATTTAAAGAATATAGATACAGAATATTTCTATAGATGTATCTTATGTCTTTACAGAAGCGCTCAAATAGTGAAATTGAAGATGAATTATGTCATAGTAAAATCTTTAAACTCGGACTGGAAGCTGTTAAGAAGATCAAAGGTAATGAGTCACAAAAACGAGATACTTCTCTCGACAAGGTAAATTCTTTTGAGAATATAGAACCAATTATGCCACGGAATATAACAGATCTCTTGAATGGACCAAGTATTGGAAAGAATTCTCGGACGATATATGTAAGATTATTAATTTATCAATATTTATGAAAATATGGCGTATATTGTCTCATCTCATAAGCAAATTAATAAGTAATAGCTTGTATAAACAGGATGTCTAATTAACGATTAAATTTTCGCGTAGAGGCAGAATGGACTGAGTAGACGTCTTTTATTTTACAATTTTTACAATAATTAATGAGTTATTGGGTGAGTTCAGCAGAACCGTTGCACGACAGTTTGCTGATGAGCTGCAACACGTTGAGTGTTCTACTGAACGCTCTTATGGCATGGTTGACATATGCATCGGAAAATGCAATTCTGGCGCAAGGAAAGATTCAGTACCAACTTCATGACGCGAAACAAGTCTATATTCATAGTCGATTCTTATATTTAAGACTGTCTTAAGTACAATCTTAAGATGTCGTAAATCAATCTGAGAATTGTATTAGCATCTTAAGACATTATATTTAAGACAGTTTTAAAATAAAAACGATGGGACTATGAATACCGTCCCATGTTTAGCGTTTCACAGTTAATAGTTTCTTCCTTATAAACAATCCTAGACAAAGAGGGCAGAGATTTAGAGGCACTGTCCAACTGCACACCCTATGTTATCCCTTCCATCATGGGGAATAATAATCATAGCTCAAAACGAAAATCCAACGCTATATGGGTATACGCAACTCGTGCGTAGCCCGTATTGCCATTAATAAACAATAACTCTCCATGTGCTTAGCGACAGCGAACACTTTCTGTCTCGCCGCGCGCTTGCATTTGACATTTAGGCTGGGCGATTTTGACTATTTTCATAAATGATTATTAAACTCGTTAATTATTGCGAAAATTACAAAATGGTATAGGGCTTTTCTTCTCAATTTAGTCCATTTTGCCTCTATACGAGAGTTTAAGCATTTTTCAGACACCCTGTACATGCCTATATGCACGCACGCACGCACACCCACCCACCCACCCACCCAAAATACTTATTATTAGATTGCGAATATTTATGCAAAATACTTAACTGAATATTAATCGGACAGTTTTAGTCGATCGTTGTTCGTTAAAAATTTATTAAAAAGTAAAGTAAAAAGGTTGAGATTGCCATCTGTAAATATGCAATTTATGAAAAATATGCATTTTATGCAAAATGTTCATTTAAATATTTTACATAAATATCCGCAGTCTACTTATTATATATAATTTACAGAATGTGATAAAAAAACGTTCACTCTTAACTCGAGGAGAAGAATCATTAGCGAGGATAGCATCATTGGCAAAACAAGGTGACTCTGTCTCTCATGCGGTAAATATAAGAAGAAATTTTATCTTTCCGCATATTGATCAAGACACAAATAATACACTTAAAAAGGAAACTGAAATAACAGCAGATTTGGATTTACAAATTAAGGTATATAATTTAATTATATAATGTCAGTTATATAAAATACATTGTTATTGTACATTACTCATTTGCTACAGTGATATAGCTATACATTTCAAAATTAAAATTACAAAATTTTAATGATTTAAAACATTCAAACTCATTTTTTGAAAAACTTCATTTCTTGATTTATACGTAGTAAATAAGCGACACGTTTTTCATTTATCTAATTTTTATATACTACTATTGAAAAAAATATGTATATTTTTTTATGACTGCAGACTGGAAAGAGAAAGATGAACTCAAATACATCGTCGACATTGAAAAAAAGGCGAAAATAAAGCTATTCTTCACAAAAAAGTAATAATTATTTTATTTATATAATATGTGAACTTTTTTTTACAAGTAACATTTAATATAAATTTTATGTGTATAAATGAAATGATAATTAATGTTTTTGTTGAGCTACTAAAACTTGTTAGATGCACAAAAATGTTAATAATACCTGACTATTTTATATAAAAATTGCTTCTTTTTGTGACAAGAAAGCAATGAAGTGTAAATGGTTAAACGATTTTGAATAATCAATTCAGACAATTTGTGTGGAACCCATTTACCTTCTTTTTTAATCCTTCCCATTGCGTGTAAATGATCAGATACAGTTGATTTACCAACATTTAATGCTTCAGCTAATTCTTCAAGCGTTTGAGTTGAGTTTTCATTCAATTCGGCATCTTCGAACTTTTTGGTTGACCTGAACGTTCTTTGTCTTTCAAATCAAAATTACTATTTTTAAATCGTCGATATCAGTACTCATACGTTTTAACTGATGGAGCAGACTCAGAATAAATTTCTAAAATGAATCGGTGAATTTCGGCAGCCGTTTCGAATTAAAGCAGTAAAATAGTAGATGCCGAAAATATTTTTTATCACGTTCCATTTTCGCACTAAAAAGTATGGTTACGTTTACGAATGCACAGAACCTGTATCAAATTATTTGTAGAAATGTCCAAGCTTTGAAATGACATACTCAATTTCAAAATATTTTTAATAGATCTGTAGCATCTGTAGTGAGCCGTCAAAACTAACCAGAACACCTAATAGTAAAAACATAAGATTTCACAAGTAGATGTATATATAAGAATTTTCAGATTTTTATACAATTCAGAATAGTTAAAAAAATCTGCTATTGTGACCTCAAAACTCCAATTTACAGGCGAAAAGTGAAAATTTCACATTGCCCCGACGAAGGATTAAATTCATAATCGTAATTATTATATGATTAGTTTTGTAGAACAGATGGAATATAAAGTATTTATATTAAAGATAGAAACTAAAACTAAGAAAGGAAAAATGAATATTTTTTTTTTTTTCAAATCTCATCTCTTTTTTTTTAAAGATTTGTTCTATTACATTGTTAGTTTTATCTGTAAGAAACATAACGTTTGACGATGTTTAAAATATACAATGGACGTATAATAATTGTTTTTCTAATGTTGAAAAAACATGCGAAATATTTTACAATTTTACGGTTTTGCACGCTCGATCGTATTACGAACTTGTGATTCTTTTTCAATACACCGTTTCAGTATCGGAAATTTGGGTTATCTGTTTGCCATCCTTTCGCATTTGGTCCAAATTGATACACCAGTCTGCGACCAAGTACTGGTAGAAATATTTTGCTCTTGTAATAATACCTAAAAAGCATCATTTTGCAAAATAACTAATATAGCAATATCTAAATACATTTAAATTATTTCACAAGATATTAAAAATTTTATTATTTATTATTACCTCATAGCTCGACTAAGTTTTTCATAAGTCATTTTTGTATTTCCTTTCCGTGAACCCCATCGTTTTGCCACTTCGTCGCTTTTTACGAAGCGAAATTTGGCTTGTGAATAGTCTTCCCAGCAGATTAAACTTGGACACGTTTCTCTATTACGTAGTAAATCTCTAATAAATTCCCATAATTTTCCTTGACTCGCGGCTACAAAAATGCAGTTAAATCGTATAATTCAGTGAATATGTTTAATATTACATAAATTAAACCTTTCATTTTAATTTCATTATTTTAATTTATAATTTAACGAAATTAGCATATTTAAAGTATGTGAAAAACAAAGAGACAGAGGGAAAAGGTAAGGAGGAACGTGTTTTTATAAATGTGTAAATGCATCCGATCAGTGCGTAAAGCGCTCGCGTTTAACCGTGCGCGCCACTCTTGCTCATCTCCTATACGCGACCCGTGATATGCTAACTATTTCTTTTTGTAATTTGAAAACTAAGCTTCGGACAAAATTTTCGTAAAGGAAAAATTGTCTCGGAATTCGGTCAGGAATACGTCTCTTCAGGGACATCTGGGCTGTTCTGAATCACCCGGTATGTAATATATTTTGCAAAAATTTATTGCTGAACATCCTAATATTCTAATTATCGTGCAAATAAGGGTAATTCGACAGCATTAATGGATTTAACTGAATATACTGGAAAATGCATGAGATTTTATTAGATAATAACACACACTTGAACATTAATAAAGATCCCACGAATAAAATGATTATTGAAATAGGCGCACTTTTGATCAGGTAGAAAAGAATAGGAAATACATTGATAAATTTACTTATAAGAAATTATACGTTTCCGATGGAACACTATCGAGATCTTATGAGCTTCCGAAGACACGCAACGAAGGTAGAATGATAGCCGTTGAGAATGATAGCTGTATTAAGTCCCCACTATCCTCTTGTTACATATTTAAAAGAAATTGTTGAAAAAAGTTTAAAAAAAGAAATTGGTGATATTAAAAAGCTATAAAATAGTAAATAAATTAATTGGAATGCCATTAGATCAGAACTATAAACTTGTTTCCTTTGACATAGTATCTATGTATAGTCAGGGCCTAAAAAATTGCAACATATTTTTTTAAATGAGTTTCGGAATGCAGCCTACTTATCGAGCGATTAGTTCTTATTTGTAGATCCATGAATAAGAACCAATCGCTCGGTAAGCAAACTGCATTCCGAAACCTATCGAAAAAAAGTGTTGTAACCTGTTAGGTCTTGACTATACACTAATATTCCCATAGATTTAATTCTAAAAAGTATCGAAGCAAGATGGAATTCTATATCATAAAATACATTGATTCCAGAACAAGAATTCTTAACGGCTATACACATATATATATATATATATATATATATATATATCTTAAAAATATATATATATATATATATATATATATCTTATTCTCAATTCTACTTTCTTAAATCTGATAAAAAAATATTTCAAACAAATATTTGCTAAGCCCATGGGATCTCCGATCTTAGCAAATTTAGTGATTCAGAATTTGGAGAAAGAAATATTTTTCAGCATCAATATTAATATTCCTATTTATTATCGTTACATTGATGACATTTTTCTTGCGATTCCAAATGATCAAATCGATTTAGTTCTTAAGACGTTTAATTCTTATCATTAGAGATTGAGATTTACTGTGGAACAGAAGAACAATGGCAGTATTAACTTTCTTGACGTTAATTTAAAGATGGAGGATGGTTGTATTAAATTTGACATTTATAAAAAAAACCGACTAATTCGGACCATTATTTGAGTTACAAATCGAACCGCCCAATAGAACACAAAAGAATAATAAACGGACAATTTGAATAGAATTCTATTTCTTTCTTTCATCCAAATTAAAAACGTCAACTTTATATGATTAATGTTTTAAATAACGGTTATCTTCTAAATATAATATATTTTCCACTATAAACTAGAAAATAAAAACATTATTAGAAGAAATAATATATATGAAAACAAAAGGAAATTAATAATAATAATTCTAGTTCTACTAATATAAAAATATTCTTTACAATTCCATATGTAAATAAAATGTCAGAAAATTTTAAAACAATTGTTGAAAAAAATGATTTCAATATATCTTATAAACCAATGAATTGTTTAAATTAATTTATAAAAATAGGAAAAGATAGAACGGATAAAATGAACCAATGTGATGTGGTATATAGAATAAATTGTCTGAATTGTGATTCCTCTTATGTAAGACAAACAAAAAGAAAACTTAAAACGAGGATTAAAGAACATAGAGCGAACCAAAAAAAAAACTGATTCTCTTTCTGTAATTTCACAACATCAATTAAATTATCAACATGAACTAGAATGAAATAACATCTGTGTTTTAGATAGGGAACTATCCATATAAAAAAAATGATTTCGGAAATGATACTTATAAAAAGACAAATTGGTGATATTAATAAGCAAAGCGATACAGAAAAATTGTTGAGTAATTATTTACCTATACTAAATATTTCTACTTCACATAACACCAGTATGACCCCCTTCTAAGTATCTTCATCTTTTGTCGGTTTTGTATATAAGTTTGATAACTCATGAAGAGAATTAGCAGAGAATTTAAAGTTGTAGCAGTAAAAATAACTTGTCATCAATCCATTACTTTAGTTATAATATTGAAGTTTGCTTTGACACAATTTGTTTAACATTCTAAAACTAATAATTAAATAACGAAATTTCATATATTAATTACATGATTTGATCATATTAGAATCTGGAAATTTTGTGTCAAACATGTTTTATTCTAACTTCAAATACAACGAAAAATCATATTGGACAAATTAAAAAAGATTTTAATAAGAATAAATTCTCCAAGTTCTCTCTGGATTGCTAAACAATTTTAACGAGCGTTTTGCGTACACTAACCTTCAAGAAATGATTTATATTTGGACATTTATTTGAATTGACTTGTAAATCTCAATTTTTTGCGTTTTATCGTTAAATAATATTTATTTCAATTGTATAGAAAATTGTAGACATACACTGAAGATGATCTAATCGAGACCGAAACGTTTATAATTGTTTTGACTAATTTGTTCAATTATATCAGAACAAAATCAATAAAATTAAATTTATAGAAGTTTTTCGCTACTAATATCTTGCGTTGTGGTACATGCATTTTGTAATTATTATACATTTCGCAGTTATACTTACTATTTTTCTTAGTCTTTAACACTCTTGGTCTACCTGGTAGCCTCTTGGTTGCAATTTCGATACTATTATCTGATTCCGCATCTGGAAAAAGCAAGAAAATTGTTTAAAATAATTATGATCCCAGATAGGACAGAGAGTTCTATCTGGGAGAAAATATTCATTTTTGATTCCCGTTTTACGAAATGAATTCCTTTTCTATCTCATTTCTGTTCTAAAAGTATTCCTATGAGTCCCAAAAGAATTCACTTTTATATCATCAATTGCGACCTCTTTTTCAGATTCCAAAAGTAATCTTTTTCTAGTCTATATAAGAATTTGCAATAAAATCAAAATAACTTTTAAATGGCATTTTAATGGAGCTCTACAACTTCATTTTTTGCTTTCTCTGAAGCTCTTTCTTGAGTTCATTACGAACAGATTACGCTAATTCATAAAAAACAAGATGCATTTTTTTCGAGTTTAAATAGATCAGTTGTGTTGTCTAGGATGTGTTCAGTGTTCATGTGTTCATTTATATGTGTCTTTATACGTATTATATAATTTTATATGATTTTATATAAGTAAAAGATAATAGTTCAGTTATTTGAAGTATTTTTAAAAATAATTTACCGGATATGTTGCTAGAATTGACTCGCGTATACTCATCCTCCGATTGCGCCTGAATGGTATCAAATGGTGGTACTATATGAAAAATTAATAGATTGTATTAGATTTCAGCACACTCAATAATCATTTTGCATTCGCATTATTTATTTACTAACAAAGGAAGATTCCCAACTCGGAAATTCAAAAGTTTATATTTTCTACTAATGACAGTTAATACATTGCGAATTATAATTTATATATATATATACAGGGTGTCCCGACCTTTTTTGCCACCATCATTTTTGTGTAGATAAAGCGGATTAAACTGAGTCGAAAAGTCCTTTACCATTTTGCAATTTTCGCAATAGTTAACAAGATATTAATTACTAAAAATTGCAAAATATTAGTCTTGAATAATTTTTTACTCAAATACTATCAACTTTGCAGAAAAACTGCAAGAGATAAAAATGATTTATTTTCTTATAAAGTTCTGAGAATTTTTTCAGAATTTTTTATCAACTTTTTAGTACTGCATTTTCTTATTTTTACCAGCGTGAGAAAATACGGTATTAAAAAATTCTGAAAAAATTCTCAGAACTTTATGAGAAGAAAAATTGCAAAATGGTAAAGGACTTTTCGACTCAGTTTAGTCCGCTCTATCTACATAAAAGTGATTGGCAAAAAAGGTCGGGACACCCTGTATATATTGTAAAATTAGGGATGGGAATCCCGATGGAGAAAGAAATAGCGGAACGAAACAATAACGAAAAGAAGAAAAATAGCTGCTAAAGCCCATGACGCATACAAGAATGTAAGGCCGTAGCACGCAAGCAGTAAGTGAATTGGCCAATCACAGTAGAGAGACCGTAAGGCCAGTAGCGAATCCAATGTTACGATTTCATTACTGATTACGCCTTACGGCCTTACGTTTTCTATGTGCTCCCGGCTTAAGCAATTATGGGAAGCCTGGATACGAAAAGCGGAATAGAATCTGCAGTCTTGGTTAGCCTCCCACCGTGTTTTTTTTTTCCGTCACTGTTCTGCTTTTTCCTTTTCAGGAATGCACAGGAGGATGCACAGGATAAAGTTTATCATACCATGATGAAAAATTTTCTAAGAACTTTTCATGTTTTTCAGAATTTTTTGTATTATATAAAGGCCGTAGCCGAATAAGGGGGAGGCAAAAGTGCCCCAGAAGTACTCCAAAAAATTCGAAACTTTTTAAATGAAAAGGACATATCAAAAAACTAATTTAAGCGTAGTATTAATTTTTAATACAGTATACGAGAGATAATGTTGAATTGATAATTGCTGAATTTTAATTAAAATATTATATCTTCGAATATATATATATATTAAAAAATTTTGAAAAAAATGTTTCATACAAAAAAGTTACAGACTAACTTAAAAAAAAGTTGGCAGTTTATTTTAAGACTAAAAAAAATTAAAATATTTTTTAAACGTGAAATTCATAGTGATACCTTTCGAGTATCGTACACTCACGCAATTTTTCGGTAGAAGATTTGTTGATATTTTTAACATATATTTTCTTGAAATTTTTTAAATTGGTACTTCGTAGGTACTTCATAAAATTGGTACTTCATTTATTGTCAAACAAGCTTTTCATAGAATGACAAAATGCAAATATCAAATGCTTAAATAAACCAATTGATAATAAAATGCTGCCTAACATAGGAATGTACTTTCAAATTGCATCATTTCTTCACAATAAATATGGAAAATAATTATCATCAGATAAAGAATTTTCAGATGAGATAATAAATAGAATGAAAATGCAAAGGAATATATTAAATATATTAGCTGTAGAAGTCGAGGAAAATGGTTGATTGAGAAAAGCTTCCGTTCGAAAAAACATTTTGTCCGATGAATTATTAGACTTTCCTGAAATGTCATTTGCTGATCTTAAAATATTTGTTAGACCTTATCAACTTAAACAATCGATTTCATATTTAATTGAAGTGCTTAATGATGATGGCTTATTAAACGTACAATACGTAAAAGATCAAAATAACATACTCAATCACATCACATATTTTTTTTTAACTTTTTAGATACATATATTCGAAGACATATTTTATAATATTATAATTAAAATTCAGCAATTATGCGATTTCTCTCAAATACTTACATGTATATTACAAATTAATACTGCGCCTAAATTAGTTTCTTAAAATGTCTCTCTAATTTAAAAAGTTTCAAATTTTTTGGAGACACTTTTGTCCCCCTTATTCGGCTAAGGCTTTTAATTTTTTAGAAAATTTCTCGCATTTTTTAAATGAATTAGAACATTTTTCAGAAATGCTAAGATAATCTATATTTTTTCTGTAAAACTCTTTATGTATTAAAATTATAGAATATTTTAAGATTTCTCATTTTATAATTTCCAAAGAAAACTTACAAAATCTAAATAAGTTTAAGGGATATTCTTTTTTAGAAATCTTCATAAATTAGGAATATGAAAAATCTGAACTTATCGTTATATTGAATTCGAAGTTTTTGGCCATTTTTTATATCTATAAACATATTATATTTATAAATGTAGCAACGTGTATACATACAAAGGTTTGATATACGTTGCGAATGGAGAAGATTGTACAATCGATCTCCGTACACAGGATCGTGATTAATAAAATCTTCTCGCGTAAAAGTAACAATTTCTTTCCCGGACACGGCGAGACTGTGCTGAATGGAGCTGTAAGGTTGACCGATGTATGACGCGGCTGACATAAGCCAATTTATTGTTTCCTCTTGACACCAGGTCCTAATAGGTTTGTCGGACCATCCAGTGCCGTCGATCTCCTCGCTTTCGTCACCTATCAAAACGAATTTAGAATCAGATCTACAGGCAATATCTGTCAATCTTCAAGCTGTTTATACATTAAAACCGTATAATAATACGATTTGAATACAAAATGTTTCAGATTGATCGAACAATTAAATGCTGAAGTCAGTATATACGGTTTCTCATAAATCGTTGTAACACGTTAATGTTAAAAAGCCCCGGGAAAATGCTACCAGTGAGTACGTCGATAATCGCAGACAGTAAGAAAGTAGTTTAAACCTTAATTCACTACAGATAAATAAGAAAATTGGAAAGATAACGAATTAATTATCTCTCTTGAAGTTACTTTTTTCTTAATAATTTACTATTAGATTCGTTGTTCGAGTTGACAAGAAAAAGGCGAGAACGTGTTAGAAGTATTGCTTTGTTGTGATAACAAATATAAATATTAGTATTATTATTGATGTTAGTAGTAGGATAGCTATGGAGATTCTAACTCACTGTGTTAGTGTGTAAACATATGTGCGGTACTAGAACAATACAGAGCGACCACCTGACATATCTTCCTGTACTAGATAAATGTCCCTCTCCTAGTACAAAAATTATCCTCTCTTTAATATTTTTCTTTTTCCTTTTCAATCACATAAATAGGTAGTTCGGAAAGATATCTACAGAAAATTATACACTCTTGTTAAAATAAAGTTTCCATCTTCTATTCGCAGTCTTGACTTTCTGCATACGGAATGATCTTGTAATAATAATCGTTGATCATAACACAGGTATGCTAATACTAGATTTCATTTTCAATGACTAATTTAACAAACTAAAGTTATATTAATTTTAATTAGAATTTGGAAATTGTGATGTTTACGCAACGGTCAATATAATATAATACCGATAAAGAATTTCTGAATAACTAATTAAAGCGAAGTAATCAACAAGAATTTATACAGATTGAAAATATACCACCGACAAACTAAATTGATTAACAAGTATTGAAATTTATCTTTGTAACTAGTTGATTTGACATTCGTGAAATTTATTGTGTTTCAATTATCTGATTCTTATGTAATTTATTTAAATCATTTTATTGCATTTTATTTATATCATTTTCTTGTTTTACTTGACATACTGCAGATGGCCAATTTTGATCAAAACGTCTATAATTTTTATACATTTAACATAATAAATTTTAAATATGTAACTTTGCGCTACGATCGAATATCTAGTGTGTGACGTATGTTCTTTTTATTTACTGTTTGCAAAAAATAGTGTCACTCCTGGATTTACTTTTTAATTTGGTACAGATATAGATAAAGATAGTATCATTTAGATTTTATAATTTTATAACTTATAATTTTATAATTCATAATTAGTACAATAGTTATTTTTTCGATGTACTCTTAGCGCTTTTTTTTACCTTTTTTAAAAAGGTAAATTAATCAGATTAATCCTAACATCACGCATTTTTTTTCTGTACATATCGACGAATCTCAACAGGTTCCATTTTCTGAAAAATAATTTTTTTAAAGTTTATGTAAAATATCGCCTTAAACTGGATTATGAATTTTTTTAATATAATTGTTCTAATTATTGTACATATAAAATTAAGATAATGTTATTTAAAAAATGTACCAATCAATGCGTCTTTTAATAAAATGAATAAATCTGCCAGAAAAAGTTGCTCTGCAACTTTTGGAAACGAGATATTAATCCTTAAAGTTGACGTCTATTTAAGTTAGCAAATCTAATACATTGTGGAGCAGAGCCCCTCTCTCGTCTTTGTATTAATAATTTCTAATTAAAAAAATACTGATACACCTATTTCCATCAATATAGGGTGCTTCCGATAATTTAAGTTTGAGTTAATTTCACTAGGAGCAAAAAATATGATAGACATAACTATACCTAGTACCTTTATATGATTCATGCGACAACTCAATGTATGCTATGGTTGAGTTAGTTAACAGGTAGCAATAAAATCAAAGAAGCAATAAAAATTTCGCAAAATTTTACAAATGGTGAGATAAAATATGCTTTTATTAATTTAATAATTAATTAAGATTAAATTTACTTAAAGCAACAATTATATAAAATTATCGTGCAGATTTAGAATGCGTTACCGTAAATTTAAGAAATTTACTTTTAACTTCTCGATAAAAAATTTTTCATACATGAATATATATAAACATGTATAAACATACATATACATGTATATAAATATTCATAAACATACCTATACAATTATATATGAAATATGTCCATGCATGTTGAGAATACATTCGTCTTTTTTTTGAAAGTTAAAAAACTTAGTCGAAATTGATATTTTTTCTACTCTTATTACATTACCGAGCGAGCATTTCTTCTTGGTTGGTTCACAACCACGGCTTACTAGGAAATTGCTTCGTCTGGGAACTAAAGAATCCATGTCCAAGAGTAAATGATCATTTTCATCTTCGTGTAAATTAATAAACGATGGATATATCTACAATCACAGAATTTAAAATTTAAAACTGATTTAAAATAGCAGGATTAAAATTTAAAATCAGCTTAAAACAGTTAAAATAAAAAATTTAATTTTAATTGATAAGCAACATTAGCATGCTGTATTCATCAATTAAAATTAAAACTTAAAAATGTAAATTAAAACTTATTTAAACGTTTTTTTCTTATAAAAAAAGTGTTTTTCTTATAATCAATTTTTTAAATCGCGTTGATAGCCTTTACTTCTTAAACATATAGATATATTAATATGATGATATCAACACGTAAATGATGGTAAAATATGTAATAGCAGTATATTCTATGATATACGTGACAAGTATAGAATACAGTAAAATATAACCGTCAGATTTTCCCATCGTATTCAAAACAGAACAGGGCGAATGTTGGAACAAGATTTAATGCGTAAATGTGTTCTCTGGACATTTATTTCTATTATTATCAAAATTTTCGATAATATATTTTGTGAATTATTTGGATCAACCAATTATGATTCCATTGAAATTCCATTCTTATTTTTGGCTTTATTTGATATATGTATGTATAGTTTATTTCAATTAATTAAATCTTTTTTTTTTTCGTATTATGTACTTATTTCATTTTCTATAATAAAGAGTTTTTTATTATCAACATTGAGGCATTTGATTTGAGGATGTGAAAACCATAAAGCGATATACTTTGGAACTTGTAAAAAAATTGTTTCTATCTTTGAAAACGTTTTATAATCCAGTTAAATACAATCGTTTAAAGGCCCTGCAGGAGGTCCCGGGAAAATTTCAACTGGATCTTATTCTGGGTGAACAGACCTACAATTTGATGGAAATAACGATTCACTTGAACCTTTGAAACTTTGCTAAAATCGATCTTGAACTTGAAATTTGGTCATTTTTTCACATTAATCGAGCTCTATTTCTTAAGGCACATATCGTAGAGTTAAGTGAATTATTGCATCGTGTTCAGCAACCAAAAAAACATACAGTACCACATTTAAAACCCGGATTAAGCCATTTTTGCATCAAATCAAACGTATATTAAGGAAAATCGAAATTTAAATCTTTGATTTAAAAATAAAAAATCATTCTACTAGCGACCTCTAATCTTAATATATTTTGCTAAAAATTTAGGGGTATTCTTTTGGTATGAGACAAAAGTTTTTGAGCTGAGAGGCCGATTTAAAAAATAATTTTCTTTTCTTGTATAATAATTTTATATATGAAATATGTCCACACATGTTCATACATCCCTCTTTCTTTCGTAAAATTACTTTTTAATAATGTGATAAAAATAATAATGCGAAAACATAAAAAATAATGGGATAATTTTCACATTGTTCGTTTTAGAAAAAAATCAAGTTTGAAGAAAATGTACAAATACAAAAATAACAATATCTCATAAATAACTACCGAAACTCATATTTTATTGCATTTTGTTATTAAATTTTTCATGACAAATATTATTAAAAATTTTTTTTAATATTTTAAAGCTTTTATTTAAGTCACATTATATAATACATAAGATTATAAGCAAAATAACTTTAACACCTAATTTAAACTTACGTTAAATTTAACTTAACTTATTTTAAATTTAACTTTAATAATTTTAATTCTTTTTAATATTAACCTTTTTCTATTTTAATAAAATAATTTAATTAAAAAAAATTTTATAATCATTATTATTCTAAAAAATAACAGTCTACATTCTTACCAAATACACTGTATAAAAAGTTTAATTACCATAAATTTTAGCATATTGCGTTTCGCCTTTTTATTTAGTTCTCTTGTCAATTTACCGTAATTTGGAAAGTTAAAATTTTCGGTTTTTTTAAAATTCAATATTAAGATTCGATTCATCTGGGTAAATTAAATGTTGGCATTTTTTAAATAATCGCATAATTCGGTTGTTATTCAGATATTTATAGTCCTGTTTGATCTTACGTTACGATCTTAAAAATATCTTTTCTATAATTTTCGAATTTTCAACATTTTAACTATAATGATATCACGGAAATGGTATAAGCTATCTTTAGTTACAGAAGAGTGTAAAAATTAACGTACATACCTATACCGTGACTTAATGAGCAAAGTTACTTGATCTACTAAAATTGTGATTCTCTTAATTTGAATTACATAGAGCTAATGTACACATATACGTATTTTTTGTCTAGTTTCAGCGAAGTGAGATAAGTTTACACTGTGTTTAAATTAAATCTGAGACAGATATTGGAAAAAGATATAAAAATGTTATGAATAAAAGGGAAACGATCAACGATATAAAAGAGCGTAAGAGAAACAAAACAGAAGAAAAAAAACCGTTGGCGTGATCGATGGATATTTAGGATGGTTAAAAAACAAATAAATATTATATAAATTATTTATGCATTCTTATTAAACTCACTTCCAAGTCACTCCTGTCGTAGCTATTAAACGAATCCATTTTCACGCGACTACAGCGCTGGCACTATCACTTTAATTTTGTCATACAATATCAGCGAGAACTATCAATGAGTCAGGCGCGCTCGTGTTAAAAGTAGCATATATTATACTTGTGTAGCGACAATAATTACACGTACGGGAATAAAGCGCGCGGTAATTTACGAAGTACGTGCCGATATTGCACGAGTAAACTCATCGTTCCGAGATGTTCGATTAAAAATACGGAATAGAGGACACACTGCAGTTATTTCAAATCAGACAAGCAACGGCAACTGCGATGGCGATAATGCTCCACCGCGCGACGTCTCTCACGAACGACTGAACTGGACTGGACTGAGCACAGTGAGCACGAGGTCTCCAAATCTCTACTCGACAGGGAATGACGAAGAAAACAAATATGAAACTGCAGTGGGACAGTCGCGGTTGAACAGGTTTCAACGGGGATTTCCCGCATCACAACCGCGGCCAATCACCACCGCTGTATGTCGTACCGCGATAGCTGACGCAATAATTACTTATGCCTCATTGGCGTCGATATTTTCAAAACGGATCATTTTTTTCTGGTCATTTAATTCTACGATAGAATTGAATTTTGATTCAACTTTTTGATTTCTCTGTAAGTAAATGTTGTAGAACGTTTTACTCTGCAAACAAAAATATGCTTTTCAAAAAATCCCATTCAGGAAATGTTAACGTGACAGTCGAATTTTGACGTCAATAATGCAATTTTTTTAATTCTAAATTATAAAAAAGTCGATATAATAAAATGCTGTCTCAATTAAACGCATATATCTTTATCTAATACATTGCAGCGCCACTATTACAAGATCGAGCACCTACTACTCTCTATTTACCATTCTAAATCTTCGCTAAGCATACGTATACACGTGAATCAAGCGCTAATATATTTTTTCCAGGCTTTCAATTTTAGTTTGAGAACTTAATATTGTTCGTTCAAATAATCCGAGATCCGCTGGATACTATTACTATTATATATATGCTACTCATATAACTATATAAACCTTTCATATCAAGCAAATTTTAACATCAGCTATTAATTAAGTTATTAATAAGCAATGAATTATTTAATTTTTGTTCGATTTTCCTGTGAAATCGACTCATTCGGACTTTCTATTTGTGCATATTTTAATTGTGTAAAAATTGTAATCCATAAAGCCAATTTTAAAATTTAAGTATAATATTCGTAATAGTTCCCGTTGCGCTAACATCCCCTTAAAGATCACTAAAACATTTCATAATTGCCTTTTGCAATTTTCCGTATTTTTATATTTTCACAAAAAGAGAATAAATTATTGCAAAGTATGTGATGCCGAATAGTATCAAAACTATATTTTCAATTTTTATTTATATCTCCTTGAAAAAGACACTAACTTAATTTTTATAACTTCTTAAATTTTTTCGGAAATAAATGGATTTGTGCTCAGTCGATTTTTAAAAAATATAAATATAATTCAGCTATAATCTAAAACATGTATAATAATTGAATAAATATTATGACTTTATATTATAGGTATGTATGTATAGCAAATTATAAAGAAAAAATTACACAGCAGTGTAAAGTTATACAACAAAGAAGCCAAAATTGTAGAATCAAAAAATGAAGCATTAACTGCTGAAGCATGTTAATTAAGAACCTAAATTTGATAAATAATTTTAAAACCTATAGTTTAAAAAATCACGGGCAATTAAAATTACGAAAAGAGCCGATTTTTTTCAAGTCATAATTAAAATTCAGAAAGGACTTACTTAAAAAAGTGATCAAAATTTAGGGTACCGTATATAAAAAAAGAAATAAAACAATAGATAATTTTAATATATTAATTTAGCAATAAAGAAAAATAACATCAAAATTTCGCAACTATTCTCTTCCTTACAGTTTTTTGTTTATCGATCTATGTTTTAACATAACGCTTTGCTGTAAACCTTTGTAATTCTCCAAGTATTCAAATTTTCCAATGTCGATTAAACTTTTAAAAATTTGTCGATTAAAATTAATTAATCGGCAAATTATATGTTCGGAATATTCAGAAAAAATTTTCTAAATAATAAAAATTCTATGGTTTATTCTATGGTTTCAAATCTATCGATTAGATCGAATTGAAAATAAAATATATAATTTTCACTAGTTGCGGGAAATAAAATTTCAATTGCAAAGAGTCGAAGAACACTCCAAGAAGAGCGAGTATTCTAGAATCTAGATTGATAAATGATTTAACTAGGGAATAGTCACTTCTAAAATGTTGTATTACCTAGGATGTTTTTTTACATCCAAATTAAAAGTTACTATCATTAAAAAATAAATAGAATATATACACGCTCGATATTACCAAAATGATTTATATAATAAGAAAAAATAACCACTAAATGAGCAAATACGAAATTCTTAATAAAAACGAATTAAGATATATTCATATAATTAAATTACAGAATGTATACGAGAATAATGGTCGCAAGATGTTTTGTATTCACAGTCTTCATTAATTGCATAAAAATCGGAGTATAAATGGTACGTTTGATTGATTTCAAATTACATATTATATGATCAGAAAATATTCTTCACATAGGTAATGTTAAGATGCTTTTCTATGTATTTTCTCATAATAATGAGCGGTTGAGACGCAGCGTATTTTCATAAGTCTTTCACACATATGCATCCTCATAATAAAAGAAAACAATTTATCGTTATTAAGCGAAAATATGTTTTCGTCAAACTAAGTAACGAAATTGAAATAAAATATCTTAAACAATATCAAATCAATAAGCTATAGTCAAATTAATAAAAAATAATCATTTAGAGAACTTTAATAATGATTTATAGTCAAATCAGTAAAAATTATTAATATAATAATTATTACTGTCATTAATTACATATTATATATACTATTGATTGTTCTATAATTTATTAATATTTAAAATCGTATACAGATTTACTTATTATCTTCTTAAAATATAAGACGAAAAAAAAATAGATATAGATTTTCGGTCAGTAAAGAAATCTAACTATAAACTTTCTCTTTTTCGCTACTTGAATGTAAAAATTATCTTGTGTAATTATTCCTGGATACTTAAACGGAGTACAAATAATTGAGATAATACTTTCAAATTTGTAAATAATATGCTTTTGAGTATTTTGTGGTGGGCGCCTATGTTTGACTTTATTTATAGTATGTACGTAGTGATGCACAGAGTAGATATACATACACGTCGATATAGTCGCGATCTTCCTTACGATATTCTATATATGTATATATAAAAAAAATTGATGATGTGGAGATACAAATATATATATATATACATACACATATATATTTGTATATCCACATCGATTTTTTTTACAAGTAATTTGTAATAATTAGCTTTTAGAAAAATGTACGCGTGTACAATAAAATTATAATGATGAACATTTTCACATCTGCTCCCTGCAGTATATTATAACATTAAATATACGATTATGACGTTAAGTAATTAAATAATTTTTATGACATTACTAAATTAACTATTATTTATTATATTCCTTTAATCTTTTATTACTTTAATTATAATTTAATTAAATATAATTCCTTATATTTCTTTTATTATATACATAATTATTTATTATTATACTTCTTAATTTATTTAGTTAAATACAATTCTTTATATTTCTTTTACGTTCTTTGGATTGCGATAGATATTTATATTTCCAAACGTATTACATATCGCATCGTATAATTACGTACGATTAATTGAAAATATCCAACTAAATAACCGATTGATTCGGAGGAAAGGCATCCGTGAAAGAACACGTTGCTTACGTTTATGGATAATTATACCTGCAATTACCATAAACCCTAGACATGTGTTAGTAGTTGTGCAAACGTAAGCACTATGAATCATTTTGATGTATATTTCGCAATTCGTTAGGAAAAAGACTAGGCTCTGCTTCTAAAAATATGGACATTTTTACGGCGGAACGTTCTATCTCATTATTATCGATTCGTTGAAGAATATGATATACAAATTTTGAAGTACAATATAATTAACATAAATATGTGGAAAACAGATTCCCAGTAATTTCGCAGATCTGCGTAAAAAATGTATCAACGATATGAAAGAAATATGCATGGAGTATATATAGTCTTTTAAAAAAATTCCTTCTGTTTAAAACACATATCTCTTCTTGCCTAATTATACTTTACAAAAATAATAATTATAAAAGACAAGTGTAATTTAATAAGTACGAAAATTCATAAAACAAACAAGTTAACTCTTATGTATTGCTATATTGAAATAGACTTGTTTGTTTATGAAATAATTTGGAGCAGAAAAGAATAAAGAAGTAAAAGAAGTAAAAATTTTTAGTAACGAGTAAATAGATCAAGTCAGTAACAAAGTTATTATTCATCCATAAAAGGAAATAAGATAAAATTTGATAGAGAAAACTGAGAGGATCTCAATTAACCATGTCTCATCATTACACTAAAAACAATCCATGTACTCTGACATGGAAATTATACGTCTATGACTGGAAATTCAATTATGACTGGAAAATTTTTTTCTAGATTTTTTGAAGTAAAAATACATTCTTCTTCTTCTTACGTGAGTCCTCTGGCCTGTGTTACACCTCTCTCATACTTGTGGTGTGCGCGTTTATTATTAAATGAAAATACATATTAATGTTGAAATATTAGGTACCGCGAAAGTTCGCGTCATTTTTTCAAGAGACATTTATAGGGGAAAAAACGACATGAACTTTCCGCGGTACCTAATATATGTGATACATAGTATTATTTTAATGCAAAAATAACTTGTAGTTTTACATTCAAGCAGTATTTTTACAATATAAACGAAAAAAAAACCAATTCCATACGAAATTCAACATTCATGCAGAATATATCAGCAAATTAAAAAAAATAAAGATAAAAATGATGTTTCAAAGGTACGCGGTTTGACGTGCAATGATATTAAAAACATAAAAGTACTTAATGTATTGCATTTAATTTTAGGTTCTCCAATTTGAAAAAAAAAAAGGTTAATCATCGCAAGTTTGCATTTAAAATATAAGTTAAATTTTAAGTTTAATGGGGAAAAAATTGGTAAAAATTATTTAAAATATTTATTAGAAATTTGTTTTACTAAAAGTTTTTTGAATTGTTGATAAATAACAATCACAACTTTTTTATTTTAACCATCAAACAAAATCAAATTCTTAAAAGAAAAATAGTACCGTTTTTTTTTAAATCTAATAGTTTCAATATTAATATGTGAAACGATTATATCAGAATAAGAAAATTCTTTATTAAATAGAATACCGCTCTTTCGAATGTGTATCTGTCAAACAAATGTTGAAGGCATTATTTTATTATTATTTTATTAAAACATGGGTAAAAATTTCTCATTGAGAAATCTCATAATGCTGCAACTATTATTTCATTCAATGTGGTTTTTTAATCAGAGGTAATTAAACTTTGCTATGTCTATCTATAGATGAAGTGAGACCCCATAATTGGACTCTAAGATGAAAGTACATAAAGTTTTTTGTAGTTCTCGGTTATCGGATCTTGCTAACGATGACTGTTCGATACCTTTTTCTTTGTTCCTAAAAACTTATAGAACGGAAAAGAAGAATTTTCTGTGCCACTTGGAATTGGACGTACTACAATGGGTGTATTCAGAACGATAATTGCTCACTGAGTGCTCAGTGAGCTCTTTCATTTTATTGGTCTATATTTTAGAATCTAACGGAATATGTCGATCAGATGCAAGAGCTCACTGAGCGCTCAATCAGCGATCGTGCTTCTGGATGCACTCATATGTCTAGTGGTAGTCATTGAGCGGGAATTCGTCGTCTTTGAGCGGGACTCAGGGGAATTGCCAGGCACAAAAGTACGAGTCTTTAAGATCATTAATTTCCAGACAAATTCATATTTGAAACATTTTTCTACGATTTTTTGACAAAGTTATAGCGTTTTAAAGAAAGTGTTACAAAATGGACAACTTTTTCTTGTAAACTCAGTATAACTCAGAAACAAATTATTATAGGAAACTTTACCAAAAAGGAAATTAAAATGTGAATTTTTAATTTTAACTCTTTAATTTAATTACATCTTTTTTTAACAGTGTATATAAATTCACACAGAGTTATATAAGTACTTAAGCAATAAGAATCTTATTAGATCGTACATTTTGAAACTCATCAAATAGGAAATAGGAAATCTTGGCCACGGTCTAAGCTGCGATCTTTTTAATGCTTAGTACTTAAGATCCAGCTAGACCTAAAAGGTATTCAATCTTTTACTTTGATACCGATTAATCTTAATAATATTGATGTTACCCATGTTATTTTGTTATAATAATGAAAAAATAACCGGAAAGTAAATGAAAAGACTTTTTACTTTTTGAATAACTGCAACTATAACATATTACTTTTTAGAGTCAATAACTTGTAACAATAACCAGTTACTTTACGAAGTAACTTTCCTAATCCTGTAAGTAACTTTCAGTCTGTTTTTCTAAAAAAAAAACGAGACTTTGTTAAAAAAAATTTATGCTATTATTTTAATTTATTTAAAGCTGTAGAATCACTCCCTTTCCGGAAGTATATCACGTACGTCTGTTTATTTTGTATTAAATGCATCTCTGCAAAAATTTAATAAATACAGATAAATGCGCATACTTCATCGAGTTATGTTAGAACAGCAAGCCAATCTTCCATGTGTTATAAATATGAAAATATATGAATTATTTAATTTTATTAAAAGATTTATACTTTTTTACGATTTACCTATTTTTTGTTTTCATCGCAAGCCATTTGAGATGCAAGATTTGCAAATTTTGCCATATAGTCCACACTGTTTTCTCCCATGAGGCATTGCATATGTGACACAACCTGAAATATCATTATAAAGCAGGCAAGCATTTACAATAAAAAGTATAAGATAAAATAATATTTAATGTAAATTGTGTATTTATATTTACATCAGAAGAAGGACGAGTATCTTCCATAATTTGTTCACCTGCTTGACTTCTTTGTGAACCTTTCATAGGCGATTCAAGCTGTCCTAAGAAACTGCTTAATGAAAAATCTGCAACCTATAATTCGATTGTTCTGCCGATTAATTTTTCACACAAAAATATATTATGCACATTTATACTGATTATAAATATTTTGATTAATTACCTCGCTATTTAACCATTGATGTTCACCTTCCTTAAGAATTTGAGTAGCGCTAGTAATAATTGAATTAGAGTTCTTTGTATCTCCACTTGTCTCTAAAGCGTCTAAGAAAGTTTTGTCCTGAGCATCGTTCGCATTTACTGTTATTTTATTAGTTTGCATTTGACATACACTAGCATTGGTTGTCAAATTTTCTGATGACATATTTGGCGCAGATACAACAGGCAATACCCTTTGTATAACGAGACTTTTCTGCCTCACTGTTCTACCTCGCTTACAAAAGCGTGTTTTAAATTTCTGTAATATTTATGCGTATATAGAAAATCTTATATATGTATAAGGTGTCCTAGATCTACAGGATCACCTTGCATTATAATAGGTAGAGCGAAATAAACTAAATAAAAAAAACCTGTACTATTTTGTAATTTGTATAATAGTTAATGAGATATTAATTTCTAAAGCTAGTATTTCTAAAAACTAGCATGGCTTACCGCCAAGTATAAGGCGCGGCAAGCAAGATAAGATCACCATCGTAGATTAAAGTACCATTAGGGGCTCCGCACAATAAAAGGAACAGGGAACAGAGAACAGAAAATAAAGAGCTTCACACATGAAATGCATAACAGAGCATAAGTATAACATAAGGCCGCTAAACCAATGAGCATCTTATGTAAATCAATATATGGCGACATTATGCTAGATGCTCTGTTATGTATTTCATGTGTGAAGCCCTTGAGAATTTCAACCAATCAGAAATCATATATTGTGGAATACACACTGCGTATTCCACAATACATGATTTCTGATAGGTTGAAATTCTTATTCTCTGTTCTCTGTTCCCTGTTCCTTTTATTGTGCGGAGCCCCTTAAGCCGTAATCACACTACTGACTCCCGACTATTGACTCGGACTCCCGACTATCATTCTACTAATCACAGCAAGGTAGCAGCCGACTCTGACTGCTGACTCGAGAATAGAAATCACTCTATTCGATCGACTTTGAGTCGGGAGTCGGGAGCCAGAGTCAGGAGCCTGTAGTGTGATAAAGACAATGAATGACTTATAGCGTATTCGATTTACTGACTCGACCCGACCCCGAGTCAATAGTCTGTTCTGTTTAGCTGCAAAAGAAGAGCTAAATTGTGTAAGAAATGCAGCTAAAAAGAACAGACTGTTGATTCAGAGTCGGGTCGAATCGGTAATCGAATACGCTATTATTGTTACGGTGTTAAAAGTGGTCCGACTAAATTTTTGCGTAAGCAGCTCTGTGATTATTTTGGGTTAGATTATATAACTTTTACGTCTTAAACATTTTTATATTTTCCGAGAAATTTCGATGTCAAAGTTAAAATAAAATACTATATATTATATTGAATTTAATAATACTTACATCAAGTTGTGTCTTAAATGCATCAGCTGTACCAATCTTATGATACGTTTGGGGAATGAGAGGTCTTCTGAATGTAGATTCTTTAATAGACAGGACTCGAGACGAAATTACTGTTTCATTACTTCCTGATGTATTATCGTATACCTAATAGAAATATTTTGTAGTATTAAAAAAATTTGACTCGTCTTGAAATGCAACAGGAATCTCTATATCAAAATGAACAAGATATCTGTTACATCTTACTTTGTTAGTACCATAATTATGTTTCGCCAGTGACAATAATTTTTGTAAGACCAAACATATACTGTTATCGTGCATAATACTCGATGATGCTGAATTAGTTGTATATTGTCCATTAGGTAACCAATCCCACCAATATTCAAGTATAATTTTTGATTCGCGACCAAACTGTAAATTAAACTTAGAATATTAGAAGAGATACTTCGAATAATGCAGTATAAATGTAAAAGCAAATTGCGATTACTTGATGACTGAGAAGATTAAATGTGACAAATAGTAATAAATGTAATTTGCGCACCATTAGAAAAAGATCGCCCACGGTAATTGTGTTTGCTTCTTCGACGTTCCAACCCTTTCGAATTCTCTCGATAGTTTCTCTACCAGGAAACCTATTTGGTTCTGAATGATGTTCTGATGGCGGTTTTTCTGTATTATTTATAATCGCTGGTTTTTCGGATATATTGCTTCCAGTTTCTAAGAGATCCATATCACTACTGATATCTGGCAGTGTACAATTTTCATCAGTGCGGTTTAAAATCTTTTTATCCGATTTATATCGTTTAATGCCCTTTTTCCCTACTCCTTTTAAATATTGGACAGAGCCTAACAAATCTTCCCGTGAGCTTTTCAGACCGAGACGTTTTTCATATGAATTCAAACTGACACTATTGCTAGTAAGATATTCTCCAAGATTAACCATTGGCAAGGCAATTTTACAGCCTTCTGGTGGAGCAACTCGTAATAAACAAGTATCTTTTATATCGTTAGCAACAAGATTTTCTACCGTGGAACACTATAAATACTTATAAGGATTATGAATATTTAAATAAATTTCATTGTGCGTAGTTGAAAACACAATAACGAATGAGAAGAAAATATACATATAATTACGACATAAGAAAGCCAAATTGTTGCAATAGATATAAGGATACCGTGGTATATTTTGCGAGTCGCCATCGTTGTTGCAAAAATATTAATAAACTTGAGAGACGTCTCTGTATGGGGAGAAGTGTACGAACTCTTGGATTCATGGATGCTGCTTGCACTTGCCACCAAGCCATGTTGTTACGCGGTCGTAGTTCTATCACTATTCTAGATGGTAATTTAATTTCTTCCTGCCAATCTAAAATAAAACAAATATTTTAAATTTCAGTGTTAATCAATTTTTTACTATAAATAAAAAACCAAGGTATATATATTACTATGTAAATATGACTACATTTACATGGCCTGATTTTCACTGAAGTTACAACATCTGATATTGTAACTACGCTATTTTACAAAGTTGTTACATCAATGTGATAACTTGAAATCGTTTGGTAAAGAGGCTTAGCATTACTACACCAATGTAAAAACGATGTGTAAATGCTATGTCGCGATGTTATAATTTCGGCGTAAATTTAAAAACTAAAAATTCACTTTGCTTGTTTACTTATTTACATTCTTTCATTCTTTCAGCTTGGTGGAAACAAGAATTTATAAACCTGAACCTATAAATATGACTCACTTAAGTAGGAGTTGTAACATCAGTGTTACTAATTCTAAGTCAAGTTTAGAAGCCATGTAAACTAAGGTGATCAACTTCTTTTAAGAAGGCAAAGAGAGACATTAAAAAAAATTCAATATTAATTGTAATTAAATTTTAATAAATTCATTTTTTAAATAATTGCTAACGAAACATAAGCAATATATTATATTATTGTATTTGTAAATAACTAATAACACTTAATGTATAACATCACACAAAATCACAACAAAAATTACATAAGTTATGAGAACATATTTTAATTTTTAAAATTATATTTTTCTACTAAATGTATTTTATGAATAATATCTAGGTTTTTAAATTAAAAAATCATAAAATTCTTCACATATTAATTGAAAATTACATGTACATTTCACACTTATTTTCACATATTATTTTACCTTTATTATTTTCAAATTTAAAAGAGGAACAACCCTGACAGAAAAATTTCGCTGAAATTATTCCACATTTTGGAACACTTTTCGGTAAAATTTCAGTTAATTGCAGTGATTTTTAAAGCTGACAAATTCAATTTTAAAAAAATTTCAGCAAAAATTTCAGAGAAATTTCAGTTCAATTTCAGATATTTTTCAATATGTCAACTGGAAAATTCACTTTCAATGAAATTTTAGCAATTTTCAGCAATTTCACTGAAATGTTCCAAAACGTGGAATAACTTCAGCAAAATTTTTTCACCAGACAATTTATAATCGTGTCCTAATTTAGAACAAAATTTGGGAAGCAGGACACAGAGTTAAAATTTGAAACTGTCCCTCCTAATTTGAAACGGATAGTCGCTAAGATATAAATGCAGAAATTTTTTATGTAGAAATATTTTAATTCACAAAAATATACTGAAAAAAAAAGTAAAAACTTTGTCTTTAAATATCTTATATTACAATACAATAATGTGTGATGTAGCATAATATACTTTTTAAATATTGTATACATTAAATATTATATATTAAAAATTTCAGATACCTTCTAACTGGTTTAACTTTCTAAGTGCTCTACATATTGGTGTTTTAACTCTCATTGTTTTTCCTCTAAGCCTGACTTGTGTAGATCCCCAATATACCAATTCATTTAATCTTAAGTGAACTTTCTCATGAATACGAGGTAATTTTCTTCTAAGTTCACCATAATTTATTAGTCCATATAATTCCTGAGATGTTTTTTTGACATCTATGTATAAAAGAACATACTACATTTGACAACATATTACATATTCAGACAGAATCATAGGATGTTTTTGGGGCTAAACTAGTGTACTTTTGAAATTTAAGTGAAATAGATATACATTTAATATTTGGCAAAGAAAGAAAGACAATTCTAATATACAATATAGTGTAGGAATGAAAAAACAGACCTGTAATGAGTTTTCATCAAGGTGTTTAAATGTTTGTACACATTGTATTTATATATTAATATAAATATTCATGCATATTCGTATTATGTTAATATAAACATATTAACCTTCTGAGAATTTAAGATGCTTTGATATTTTTAACCATGTTCTGTAATAAAAATGTCGTATTTGCTCTTTATTTTTTATCATGATGTCTGAGAGACCTCGTTTTTTTCCTTGATTTAGAAAGTAGCTTTGTAAAGCATCGAAATCTTTGCCGTATTCATTAAGTGCTTTAAAAAAAGTATTTTTATCCTCCATGGACCATAACTCACAGGAACGTTTGAGAGATTTAACTTTAACCTCTGCTGTCTCTTCCTCTTTTGCATCTGTTTAAATAAAAAAATTTATCGTTTAATTTTAATATTGTAACAGTTTAAAATATTTGTTATATAAATTATATGAATAGTGTGTGATATTTATTTAGAATAATTATTTCTCCCCTAAAATCTACTCATTCGACGCGTATTTATTCAAAGCTAAAGAATCTGGCAGAAAAACGCGGCGATCAGCCTCGCCAGTATCCAAAAAATCCAAAGAATTTTATATAATCGGCAATGACAATACGAATCCATTTCTATCTATTTCAATTCCCAAGGAATTTCCTTGTTTTATTTCAATTGCGCAGCAGTCAATTTGTTCAGCCAATAGAATACTAGCATCTGATTGTAAATTTTTTATTGTAGTTTGTATAATTAAAGCACATAGTAATTAAGGCACAGTATACATAACGCTGCATCGAGTCGAGATGACAAATATTTTAAACTTTGAAGTCTCGAATTTTAACACTTAAGCCTATTCTACAATGTGATTTTTGTTTCCTGTTGCTTGCTTTTTACTATTTTTTGACATCTTGTCTTTTTACTTCTTATCCGGTTTCTTGTTTTATGTTGCCCGAGATAAAAGTTATGGCCATTCTACACTGTGCTTTTTGTTTCCTGTTTCTTGCTGTTTGTCTCTTACCTTGATCAAAAAGGTAAGAGACAATCAGAGACAGACAGCAAGAAACAGGAAACAAAAAGCACATTGTAGAACAGCCAACTAACTTTGAATAACTAACTTTGAAAGAAACAAGAAATACAATTGTCAATAAAACGGTTGCAAAGGAGAAAAAAGCAAAAGGTAAAAAGCAAGAAACAGGAAACAAAGAGCACATTGTAGAATAGGCTTTTATGGCTGTTCTACTATGTACCTATTTGTCTCTTGTCTTTTTGATCAAGAAGGCAAGAGACAAATAGCAAGAAACAGGAAACAAAAGGTACATTGTAGAACAGTCATAATAACTTGATTCACGAGACCAACCACTGCGTTTTTCTGCCAAATTATTTCATTTTAAGTGAATATGCATTGAACGAGTACATTTTTATTAAAATTTTAAGAGGATAGAAGGGGGGAATGGATATTTTAAACAATTATCTGTAAACAAACCTTTTTTCTCAGTGCTGTTAACATCGTTGTCAATTTTGAACTTTTTAGCACCGCGAACAACACGAACTTGTGTATTCTTACTATCTATTAAACATTTTGCATCCAAATATATTTGATTCACTTGAGAACACACTGGAGTCACATTACCAAAGTCAGTATCTTCACATTTTGTAGGATCTTCTGTCATGTTATATATTTGTTGCAATTTACAAGACAGATATTTTCAATGTGTTTAAAATCACAATGAATATTAAAATATTTTAAATTTAGAATTAATTGCAACGAATAACATTGCAAAGTATATAATAAGCAAATATACGTATAAAATAATTTGTGCAATAATTTATTATTACTTTCCGGATTTCAGTAAACACCAAGAGCCAGGAATATTTTTCTTTAGCTTCTTTTTTGTTGGATAATCAGATAATTCCTCAGTCGAGCTTCCTCACTACCAATTTTGATAAAAATTATCATTCGACATGTTTTCCCGTGGAGATAAAAAACGACCGAATCCAACTATCCAACTCCAACCGAACCAAATGGAATTTTTCTCGGCAGCAAAAATTAACTTCTAGAGAGGCCAAATTGTCGTCTTGTAACGCTGAGCTGTGGCGCCTTTAGGTTACTAGAAGTTTAAGTTGGCATTCCTGCGCGGATATATCTTTTCGAGTTTCCCTTCAGTTAGTTGAGAGTAGAGTCAGATCTGTTAGTTTTTTGATAATCTCTGTATAATGACTTTTGTATTCTCTGACGACAAATAAATTACTTATCAGTTTGTAATTATAAATACAGCATTAGTTGTTTGTCGGAACACATTACCAGTTCCCACAGAGCCACTACTTGTAGCGGTATCTACCAAAGCAGGATAAACTTCTTTGCCAAGAGTTTGACAAAAATACAAAAATTCACGGTCACCCTAGAGTCCTAGATTTATCAGAGAGGCGCAACCGGTGTTATGCATTCTGATTCGCTGTTGCAATCTGACCAATTGCGTGACTTGGCAGCCTTTTATAATACTAGCGACATATTTCTATTTCATTTTATCCTATATATTCTATCTCACATTATCCTACACGTTTTTGGCTGCGGTCCATTTGACGCTACAAACGCTTCGAAGCGTTTTTGATTAGTCAATTTGTAAAATTCTTTGTTCTGATTGGTTGCTCAAACGCTTCGAAGCGTTTGTAGCGTTAAGTGGACCGCAGCCTTTATCTTGTTTGACATAGTTTAAAGGCAATTTCATAGCATGTCGGCCATGTTTAGTACTCTCCTTAGCACCTTTGTTATACTGACTTAGGCCCAGTTTCACAACTCACGATAATAACTTTTAACCGAGGTTCAACTTATTTCTCATCTTTTTCCAATTCTAGAATTGAAAAGAGATAATTAATAAGTCGAACCTCGGTTAAAAGTTAACCGTGGCCGG